AAGCTGCTACATTTAACAGAACAGTAAAACATATCTTAGAAGCACAGGAGGAAAAAGTCATGTATAGATATCATGCCCAATGCTTTGTCATTTGCAAGTTAAAAAAAAATAATCATATATTGCTCAATGCTCATTACTATTAAATCTCATTGCTATTAAATCCTATTTTGCTAATTGTAAATTGCAGTAGTTCCACTACTACAGAGACGGCTCTAGAATACCACCATTCCAGTGGTTAGAAACCATTGGCTGATTTTTATCCTGATTTATCCTTCCTGTTAACCCAACATGCTAAGAAATCAAAATAATAGGATATATTATATTTCTATATGATTAACTAAAAACACTGCACACTTATGTACTGTATCCATTCATATTTTATGTTTTAAGTCAAACAACCAGAATTGTACACAGATTCTAGATCGGGTTTTAGCAATGTTTGTACAATGGTTTTTATGCTTCTCATTTCTAGAAATTGTTTCTCCTGCTTTATTCTAAAATATCTGTTTTTCCTTCATAAGTCTGCAGAACAGTGATGTACCAGGGTTATTTTCTGCCTAACTATGGTATGGACCTAATCCATTCCTTCCTCTGCTGCTGTCCACCAAAAGGCTCCATTAGGCTCCTATGGAAAATGAATTTATTTGTTCTAGATTTTTGTTCTAGTAAGAATCTTTAATGTCATTCCCCTACACTTGGCACTATTATGTTGTATTCCATTTCCAATTGTTCTATCCTTTCATAACATATTGTGCTCTTCTTCTGTGTAGTGGACGCTGATTCTGTCACTAATGATTTTAATTAGTATAATTTTATTTTCTGTATCATCAGTCAGATAGTCCTTAAGAGATAATAACATCCCTCAAAACCTTTGCTTTCTTTTTCTACTTACTTTTTATCAGATGCTATTCTCTTTCGCTCCTTAGCAAATAATACCAGAATTTAATTAAGTTGTTTTTGTAATTGGGATCACAGCTACAAGGGCTTTTAGGTGCTGGACCAGAGTTACTTCCAGCTCACCCATTTCTTCTGTTCAGTTTCCATCTTCCAAATACGTATTTTTTTTCAGTCTCTAAACTTACAATGTTCAAGAGGTTATAGCTATACTACCTTCACTTAAAGCATCAGTCAATACAGCAAACAAAAATGATTATCTAGGGCTGTCAGTGCCCATTGTAAAGACTAGAAATACCTATACATAGTTCCAAATAAGGTTCTATATATTCTGTTAGAAAATATGAAAGATTATAAATGACTAGAACCATGTTCTTCATCTTCTATATGACTACTGGTCTTTACCTTTCTATCTTAAAAACAAAAAGTCTGCAAACGACATCAGGAACAAATTATTTTGGGTAAGCAAGGCTTACTTATTCCACTGTTAAACTTGCATCACATTTAGTGACCAACTCTGTCTTTAACAGTCAAAAAATGTTTCCATTCCTAGCAATTGCGTGTACTCACAGGAGCAGAATTCTCACTGTCCATACTACCTTAATACTTACAGAGAAAAATAGCACAAATGGACTGGCGAGAACTGTAAAATTACAAAAGTAGTGGTGCTATATAATAAAAGCAAGAACATTTAAAAGCCAATGAACTAGTAAGTAATCAAAAAGAGCAGACTAACCTATACGCTACAAAGATATTCAAATATATTTCAATTATACCATCAATATGAACTGCACTAATTACAAGTGATTTGTGCAGTTAAGATAATGTTTATCTTGATGTTCATACTTTCTGAAGATATAACTGGAAAGATCCTGCATTGAGAAGATGAGAAACATCAACTACAATGTTCATATTTCCTTTAAAATATTCTAGGGTTGGGAATTTTTAAAATTTTGTTTAGTTATGTGGAAAAGAGACTTCAGACTCTTTGCAGTATTTTTTTTCCATTCCTCTTCATGTATAAGGAAGGAAAACCACCTATCCCATTCTCCTTTTTTTTTTTTTTTTTTTTTTCTGTTAATACCTACAGTGCAAAATCTAAAATATATTAAAGATATACTTGTGTCATTAAGTCACTAATCTTCAGACTTTGTGGGAAAAGTCAAATGAAAAATCCAGTGTAATGAAAGTCAAAATATGACTCCTTTTTCTTACACCATGAAAAAAGAATACTAGTCAGATAGAGGTGCTCCTGACCATCTTATGACACAAAAGCTAGAAGTATGTATTTTCTTGCCAAAGTTACTGGAAGACTCCAATGAAATACTACAACATACTTTAACCACAAAGGAAATAATATGGCCCAATCTGATTAGACTAGGCTAGATCTGATCTAAACCACACTAAAAAATATGCCATAGCCTATCTGAAAGCTTTAACTATATAACCTGTTTCTAACAGGAAAATGGTCAAAAATATTGAGGAAGATGCTAACAGTTTATACATTGTTACACTCTGCCTTTTACAAAGCAAAGGCATCAAAAAGTTGCCTTTCAGTAATAAATCAGACTCTGCTCGACCTTGTTCCTGAGGTTGTCTGAAAATTAGATTATTAAAACACTAGGAATACATACACATATCTTAAATATGAAAGCAAAAGTGATAATGAGGTCAGAGGGGCTTTCTAGACTGTCTGACAGCAGTATATTACATCAGAACAGCAAGAGTAGTTGGACTCACGGATACTATACTTAGCACACACAATGCTATATATTAAAACAATCGGTTAGTGATTGATCTTAGTAGAAGAGTATGCTATGTGTTCTGTGACCATCTGGAAGAATTTCAGAGGTGATAAAGCAGTGTTTTCAGTGTTACCTGTGAGTGAATAGATGGCCAAATAATCATACAGGCTTTAATATCCTTTCCCAAGCTGTAATATTTTACAAAGTTTCAAGAGAATGTCAAAAGCTAAAAAGACAGATCATTTTGGTAGAAGAATTATATAGACCTCTCTTTCAGAATTTAATTCAGGGAAAGAGTAGGGGAAATGTCCTTTTTGTCCACCTAGAAGAGAAGGCGCACAGCTGTGTATATGACACCATAGAAAATAGTTTCAATTGTTCAACGATACAGACTTAAAAATGAGACAGGGCTGTACCAGTGCCAGAGTGCCTTCTCAAGACAAGGATTCTCAAGACAAGGATCACAGTTTCCCTTTATATTGAAAAAGCAGGAATTCTCTTTACCGATCATATAGACCCTTCCAGACCTCCTTCCCCATAGTTTTTGTTGCTGACCATGATGTTAAATGGCATGGAATAATCATTTGATCAATTTGGGTCAGCTGTCCACATTGTGTCCCCTACCAGCTTCTGATCCACCCTTAGCCTACTTGTTGGGGGTGGGAAAAAGAGACAGCCTTGATGCTCAGCAACAACAAAAATACTGGTGTGTTATTAATATTATTTTAGTCAAAAATCCAAAACATGGCACATGCAGGCTGCTACGTAGAATATTTACTCCACCCCAGCCAGACACAGTACAGTATCAGAAGATATGTTATTTCAAGGCATTTTCAAAACGTACAGCAGCTGTTTTCAGAAGTGGAATCTCTTGGGATTGCTTCATCTAATGCATAGAGTGCATAGAACAGGAGTTAAACAGCTCCAAACTATCAAGGTGATAACTGAATTCTAAGGTTTAAATGTTCTGTCTTCTTCCACTTATCCTTTAAATTCACAAACATTGATGATGAGCTGATGATGAGCTGATGCTTAAATGTGCACGCATAGATAAATTAAGTTAATCCACAGGAGAACTTCTACAACCTGAATGGATTGGAGGCCTGTGATAGACTGGGAAGTGTTGGATCAAATGAACAGGTCAGCTGAAGGAGGAAGGAAGAAAGTAGTGGAGGAAGTTATGAGAGACTTTTTAAAATGGAATTAAGAGATCAGAAGAGGGTGTGGAACAACTTAAAAGTTTTCTTTGCAATTTATTATTATTGAGCTGTGACACTTCATCACAAAGTCTGGGAGAAGAGACGCCAACAGATTTAGGGGACCAATTGCTCTAAGCTAAAAGCAGGATAACTGTCCTACAAAAAAATAAAATAAAATAAATGATAATTCACATCATTTTTTTTTTTTTTTTGGAAACAGGTAACAAATCTGGTATAGATAAGGAAAAACAAACATGTTGATTTCTGATACTTCCTGGTAGCAGGTGACCTTAATAGTTGATGCTTCAAGAAGGATTCCAATTCTCTCATTTTCAAAAATCAGAAATATATAAATATAGGGCAACCCATAAAAAAAATGGAAAATAACAACAGTGAAGGAACTGCTGTTCTCATAAATATGGAGAACAGTGGACTACTTGAACCACAATTAGTGACAGATTTGTGGCAGTCCTACCACGCTTAATGGATTGCAGAAAAAAAATATGATGCATGCTGCAAAATGTTAGAACTTTTCCAAGCATATTATTTGCTGAGGCTTCAACAGCCTTCACTTTTGCTTTTACTTATTTCCTGAAGCCCACAACAATCACCTTTGCTATCCTACTCCACTGTTGCTTTATGAACTATTGCCTAAGTATCTGAGATGTGGCAAGATTCTATGATGAAAAATAAAACAGTTTGTACCCTCTACTTTTAGAAAATCTGTTGTCAGTATGAGTTCCTATATGACAATGATAGGCACATAACATTTTGCAGAATGTTATCATTTTTAAAGAAAAAGGAGTGTTTACTGACAATATCTGAACTTACTCTATTACAGAGATATGGAGTGAAATGTAATACCTTAAAAATTAATTCAAGTAATGCCAAGCTTAACCTCTGTGCTAGCTGCTGATGCTAACTGAATTCCCAAGGTACATCAGATTACAAAAACATATTTATAGGAGCTATATTTACAGTCTTTTTACTTTGTCTTATAATCATAATGCATAGCATTAATCTCAAGAGAAGATGGACTACATAGATTTTAATAACAAGACTTTCATATCTCCACTCAAAGAATCCTTACATAACCAACACTCCACAGTAAAATATTAGGTACAGCTAACTAAAACAGTGCTTCTCCTTTTAGATTACAAACCTTAATTTATCTGTTCCAGCTTTGTACCTCGAGATTCGAGCCATTGACAGAGGAACTGATAAGGTGTCTAGCCAGCGCTTCTCATATTTTGGTTCATTAGCTATGGGTGAAGAAGGTGATGATGGAGCCTGTGCAGAATAAATGAGAATCAGTAAGTACAGTTTACAAAACAACATAGTGCAAAAAACATGAATATTCATCTCTGGCTCTGCTTGTCTCAGAAAGGAATAATATATAGTGATAAAACTATTTAAGAAACTTTAGTTTCTTAAACTTTGTAGATTTAATAACTCTGGAATTTAGTAGAGAAATAAAAGCATTCACGAAGAAAGCAATGCTGTCCATCTTGACAATATATGTGATATAATTTGATACTATTTTGACTTAATTTTAGTATTGCCTTAATACTAAATAATATATATTGCCTTAATACTACCAACACATATATTTTTATAACTGAAAATAAGAAGGAAATTTGTTTTGTTTTAATCATAAATGTCCTGAATTTTATCTAAATGCAACATGAATTACATTTTTGACTTAAACTAATTTAGTCCATGGAACTCTTTGACATGCCTCAATTATCAAAGAAAAAGACACAGTATCCTAATGAAAGTACTACAGGAGTCATTGAGAAGACTGGTTTCTTATTTATGCAACAGACTTTTATCCATAGTATTATTTAATAGTTGATTTAAAACTCTGTTTTCTTTGTTATCACTACCTATATATGAAATGATGAATTTTGGAAATTTCATCTTAGAAGTTCTCCTTCAAGTGCTTCTATTGGAAAGACAAGGTTGCTGATACTCTCCAAGCAGTAGAGGATGTCCAGATCTCACAACAGTGAAAAGACATACTTTTATCATCTACTCATTACAGCGTACATAAGAAAATGATGTTAAAACAAATGTGTGCAAATGCCAATGCAAATTAAGCTAAGGGAATTAGCCTGAATATACAGCTATTAGTCAAACCTGAAGTAGAGGTTATATAGATTGTTCAGTCTAGTCATATGCGTAGCATCTTATGTACTGCAACTCAATATTTAATTAATGCATGAAAGCAACACAGTATGAAACCTGATTAAAATAAAATACTTATGAAATTTTAAAAGTTGTCAAAGAACTACTGACACTAAAACTTTCCGGGAACTTCAAAGAAATACACATCTTAATATAGTTGCAGAATATTCAGTTTCTTCCTTGAGAAGAAACCTCCAGAGGTTTACACTATTGTATCACTGACTGAAAGTACAAAACTATGTCTAAACTGTGAAGAAAAATAAAGAAAAAAAAGACAAAGGTGGTAACTGGTTTTCTTTGCAAATGATTTGAAAATAGTGTTTACAGGTAAAATATCAATTAAATTATGAACTGATTAGAAAATTATGGAAACCAATGCTTAGCATACCAATTCAGATTTATAATCATGATTATGAGCATATAAAAGGCTTATTAAATGAACAACAGAATGAGCTAGGATTTTCTTACAGAACACATGTAGACAATGCACTTGAAATTTTAAATTGGTATTTATAGCTCTGCACTACCATGACATCTGCATATCTCCCTTTTCTATAAAGAGAGCCATTACTATGTACAGACAGGCAAAAAAAAAAAAAAAAGAAAAAAAAAAAAGAATCAAAGAAAGAATCAAAGAGATATAGGTGTTTAGGTCAAAGTTAGGCATCTATGCTATCTTCATCTGGACCGAAATTACCTGCCCCAGAGAACTTACCAGTAGAGGAGTGAGTTTAAAGATGGTTATTTTTATAAGAGCCATAAACATGCACCAAGTAGAACAAAAGCAAATAAACCAAATGATGGACCAGCATCAACTCTCTTATGCCCAGGTGTTAAAAAAACATAAAACCTACTCAAGGAATACTCAAGAGAGCATTCTGGGAATTGCTCCATTTCTATTTTTTTTCTTCCTGCTCATAAATCTTTTAGGTTTTTGTTTGCTTCTTTCTTTTTCCTGAAGTTCTTTCTTATAGTCAGCAGCTACTGATCTCTCTATTTCTTTAAATAAATCAAAATACTGACTTTCAGATTCTAACAGGATAACTGAGAGTTAGTGATTGAGGAATACTTCTCCAGTAAATAAAAAAAAATGTAGTGAAATTGGCAGAGTTGGTTAACAGTAAAGTATCTTGTACCCTGCAAACTCTTTAAGGAAAAGAATCATAGAGTTTCATTTAGAGTATCTGCAATCCCTAGAACAATCCAGCTTTCATTTGACTGAGATCACCTGATGTTCAGTATGAATATTTCATAATCAAGTCCATTGATTAATTCTGTTTCATAGAATTAGCCACAAAAAGATGGCTTGAAACCTTAGTTTAAACTTGGTAATATCATAGTGAGGAAACTGATGCATATTTTAGCATTCTGTACAAATGAAAATCATTGACAGAATGACAGGCAACCTACAGTTGAAAATGATAACAGAGTCTAACATTCCTGTCCAGAAGCTGAAATGTCTAAGAATAAAGTAGAAGGTAGATTATTACAGCTAAACATAAATGCTTGAATATGATCACTGAATTTAAATCCAGGAATCACAAAATAGGAACCATTTTCACTTATTGCTCCCATCCTCTCCACTCTCAACACAGAGGTAACATCTAGATAATTTAAACAGAAAAACACTTTTCTTGCAAACTGAAAGAAAACCTTGTATTTCTTTTAGAAGAACCCTGTATTTCTTTTAGTAGGGTCTATTCTGTCTATTATGTAATATTCAATTTAAGAGTATTTTACAGAAAAAAAAAAAAAAAGAAAAAGGAAGGGTCACTAGCAATTTGATATTTCAGTGTGGTCCCTTACACTTCAGTCAAATGCTTTAGTAGGATAACAGCGCAAAGAAGAAATATCTCCTTGAAAGTAAAGATAAGAATTTTAGAAAATCTACATCACAATTATCCACTGGATTTGTTAATTAAAGGGGGGAAAACCCTTGGTCAAAATTTATTAATCTCAAAGTTATGATTCTAAATGCTAAACTGTTATAACTTGTGTAAACTCCTAAGGAAATTTGGCTTCTGTAGACTATTTCAAAGTTTTGGTGTTTGATAAACATATGAGAAAGCGTTTTTCAGATGGTTACGTGTTTCACCACCCTAGTTCTGGGTTATACATGTAGAATCCATACCTCATGATCCAGCCAGTAATGACCAAGAATAGGGAAATGATATAAAGAGGTCAAACTGGTTCAAGTCTCAAATTTCTGTTTCTTACTAAGCCATATTATACTAACCTGTTTATGGTAGAACGGAAATTAGAACCCTCCTTATCTTGTTACAGACAAAAGAGGGCATACACATGGCCACAAGGCCATAGCATAAAAATTAAATACTATCATAGGCCCAGCAGCCCATTTTGTTCAGTTTGCCCTATAATCTACTAATACTTCAATCAGAGACAGATCCTTCACTACATCCCTTCAAAATGTGGATAAATGGGGATAAACAACATGGTGAAGAAGCAAGCCAATATAATTTTTGCAAACAGAGGTCTTTGCAAACAGAGGTCTTCAGAAATCTTTTAGAGTTGTCCACGCAGTTAATTAATGAGCGGACCAATTGTTACGATGTACTTTGGTTTCCAAAAACCACTTGTCCTTAACAAAAGATTCTTAACTGATTTGCTACGAAGTAAGGCAAAGCCCTCAAACAAATTAATAATTAGGTTAATAGAGCAAGCAAAATACTTGTTAGTAAACAGTTTTTGCAGCGGAGTGTACTATCAGTGGACTCCCATATATACATGCTCTTCAGCGTACCAATTGATGATGTGGACAAGATGGTAAGCAATAGACTGATGAAGTCAACAATGTGAAACAAGTAATGAAAAACAATAAAAAGAAGATCAAACTGCAAACTGCAGCAGAAGCACCTCATGATACTGAATGACTGCTAAAAGGACTGCTAAAAATATTATAGATAAATGTATGTTAATGCATATGAGGTAAGAATATATTAACTTTTCCTGGACTGTAATGGGTTATGAACAGATGATAAATACTCAAAATAACATCTTGCTGTTGCAGGAAAAGCAGATGTTGAAAAGTATGGAATGACTTTCAAGCAAATAATGATTAAGTAAACAAAGACTAATTAGACTGGAAAAGAAGTAGCTGACATGATTGTATGACAAGTGTATATAAGAACACAGAGCAAGGGACTAGGATATAATGGCTCACTTTCCCTAAAAATATAGTAAGATCCTAAAATACAGAAGGATAAAAACAATGAAAGAATGCGTTTCTGTATATAAGAAACTCTAGTTCAGGAAGCACCTATCCAAAACATCACTGGAGGTGCAGAGAACATACCCTATAAATAATTCTACATATTTCCTCTATTCTTGGATTGTCTTGAGGGCATCTGTTGGGGACGAGCTTTTTGTCTAGATAATCCTTTGGTCTGACCCAGTGTACAGAGCTGGCTTGAACTTCAAGCCTTCTGTCTACTAAACAGCTGCTGCTCATGCTCTGCACACCATTCCTCCAAAGGACTAAAAAAAAAAAATTGACTGTTTAGAGATAATCTCTTCAATTGCGGCTTTTATCCTCTGGTTCATTTCACACCTTTGGCTTTCTGCTGAGATCACCAACAATGTTGCCAATTAATGCCAATTTGCTTGCAACACCTGTCCATTAAGAAATGGATTGAGTACAAAAATCTCATTTTTGACAGAACACTGAATGAGGATCAGTTTGTAATGACACATAATCACTATCCACCTGGGACAGCTGTGTGCTGTTGACCTGGAGGAGGGAATGATCCTATATCCCATTAGCAATCACTGACCTATGAAGGACAACGTGGGCTAGTGCTTTGTTGCTTTTAAAAACATATTCTGTAACTACTCATCATGGGACAACCATGAAGTCATACCATAAGTAGAATGAAAAGGCCTCCGTTAAGTGGGAAACCTAATCAGACATGTCTCTATAATTAAGCTTCTACTAAGAATATAGGAAAGACATAAATAGATCATAGTTCACTGTGATTGTCAATTTTTTATCTTTTTGTGACATATTATTTGCTGAACTTGGGCAACTCAATTATTTTACCTTTTTAATTTTAATTTTAAACTGTCATTGATTCTAAAACCTCTGC